CGGTCCTCGCCTTGCGCGTCGGCGTGGGTTTGCCCATGCGGTGGTTTACGAGGCTGGGCCCAGCCCCGCGCTGCACTGACGGGAGAAAAGTGCAAGTTGCAAAAGCGTGGCTGCTCCCAAGCTGTTACTGTGCTAATACAGCTGGAACGGTTACTGCTGTAAAACGCCTTCATTTTCATACCGCCAGCTTTTGTAATGTCATGCGGCTTTCCACCAGGCAATTTTACAGCAGGGAAATCAAGGGAACGTTACAGAAATAGTATGGCAAAATGCCTGAGGGATAGTCTGTCAAGAAATAGCAGACTTGTTTCATTCTCGTTTCCCCTATTTTGTTCCCAACTGTTGCCATCAAGTACTCTATATACAATTATAAGATTAAGCAGTTCTCTGACTAATCAGAAAGTTGCAATACTTCTTGCTTCAGTTCCCACATATTTACATAAAGCCAGTATATTTGAAAACCGAATCAAGCCCAGGGCTTGCAAAACAACATGATGAGTGAGGAATAAAATGTGTTTTAATTAGAATTATGCAAAGCAGTTTCCTTAAACTGCTTACAGCAACGAAGTATAAAGCACCAATGCTAACCCCAGCCTTATCTGTCTGTCCAGAAGCTGATCTTGCTACAACGAAAGAGCCTATTTGTTAAACAACTAAGTAAATGTCAGGCAGATTATAATAATCTTAACATGCGTCATTCAAATTTGCTGCAGACCATCAGTATAATTTTGAATGCTGGTTATAGATCAAACCACATCCTGATTTGTTAATATATGCAGCAAGCAAGTACATTTTGTTTCAAAAGTTGACTAACTTTTAAGTACCATATATGAGGTTTATACCTGCTGCTTTGACCTCTTCTAGCAACACAAATGGACTTGAATCTAAGTAGCTGAAGCTCTCCTCTTCCATTAACGTTACCATACCGTTGTCACTGGCATTATAGCCTCTTCCAACACTTGTGACAAGAAATACAGTGGGCAGCGGGAAAGTGCTCAAGTAGTACAATTCGATTCTGGACTGCTAGCAGAGTTCTTTGCTGATCCCAGGATTGGGAGGTGAAGAAGAGGCAAAAAAAGTCCCGTAAAACCCTTTTTATCCTCTTTTGTTGTATGTTTTTCACTCTGATCAGGGGTTGGCTGGACCCGTGAATTCTTCTAAATGGTTGCAGTTATTAGTCAAAGAACCTACCATAAAACCTCAGGATAATATTTGCTTACATTGTTGTTATGATGCAGTAATTCTGGAATTACAATAATTATTTTCACATTCTTGTTATGTTTCTTTTTTCAAAGAAAAATAACCGTGACTATCACAGGGGATGTGCCAAGCTGGAATCACGGAAGCACAGAGACAAACCCTGAGGTTTTTGCTTAGTAATTTGAATGGATATTTTATCTGAATAAAATTTGTGAGGTCAGAATTACAGTGATAAAAATGCTAGGAGTAACATTTCATACTTTAACAATATGTGGTTCAATAAAACATGACATAATGAGTGAAAAAAATTCAGTTTTGGTGAGAGGGAAGAAGGGGGATGATGGAAGGTTCACCGATGCATTCATAAATCCACAAAGGTATGATAAATTGCACATACATAACGGTCATTCAAGGGCTAGTCATGGTTGGAAATGCGATCCCTGAGTCCAGAAAATGCTTGAGCATGTGCCTACATCCATTCCTATTTGTGATAGTCCCCAAACTGATATTTAGCTTCTCAGATAGGCTTAAGGTCCTGATTTACTCAGCCCTTTTTAATTTTCCCTTTTTAATGTCTTGGACTATGAAACTTGAGAAAAACAGCCTTAAGAGATGTGAAATCAGGAAAAAACACGAAAAGGATTAGAATGAGAAAGCAAAAAGAAGAGAAAGTTATTTTAAATGGACTTAAAAGCTTTTGGGCAACTCTGGGAGGTGGTAGCAAGAAGAAATAGGATAACAGGGACAGAGAACCTTAAGTGTCCACATGAAATGAAAGTGAAACTCAGAGCTGTGAAAGGAAAAATAAACCAGTGGTCAAGTATGTGAATGCAAACAAGTCTGCACAACAGGAGAGGCTACTATAAAATTTGACTCAGCCCATGGCAGCTGCCCTTGAGATTTTTTAATCCGATTTTCTCAGTCAGCAATGTATTGGGTGGGGGGCCACTGGGAGGAAGAACCGTGACTTTCTGTGCGATACACACCATATGCTCATGGGAAAACAAGGGCAAGTCACTCAAGGCAGCTAGGCACTAGCTAATTACGGTGCAACACATGAGGAGCTTCTCTGCTAGTTCCTACCATCAGACAGCATCGGAAATGCCGAACTGGAGCAGCAAATAAAGCCTAGCTTTCATTCGTCTTTAATGACTCATGGGCCCACATTCAGGCTGGTTTAGGGTGAGCGTGATACAGAGCCTCAGGCGGAGAAAAGTGTCTGTAGTCTCTCTCTAAATGGAAAGCCAGGTGGGCTCTGGTGCAAAGTGGAGCAGCCTGGCGGGGGAGGCACGGTTGTGCTGCCCCTTTGGGAGCCCTGCGCCGCTGCCCTGGCAAGCGATGGCGGTTCAAGGGCTGCAGAGCTCCCATCACGCGTCCCGAGCCAAGGGCAGCAGAGGAGCCGCGCAGAGCCAGGCACCACAGCAAAGCCATATACTGCTCTGTGACGGCCGGGTCGGCAGCAACAGGGCTAGAAACTTCCCTGAAACGTCTCACGACCTGCTGTCTTTTCACACCCGCGCCCTAACCCTTGTCCACAGTTTTCAAAGGCTGGTGGAGCCTCCTGAGGGCAAAGAGGCTTCAGTACTAATCTAAAAGTGTTATCGCTAGGGGTTGCTAGACCCCTCTGGGAGCCTGGCTGCTGCAGGCTGCTGGCACAGCTTTCCTGCGTAGCCGTGACCGTCGCAGTCCAGGTGAATGAGCTGTAGACAACACCCGGGGGAGCGTGAGCCCAAGCGCCTCTGTTTCTTGAATGCTGTATGCCACCATACTGTGTGTACTGACAGCCACAAACAATGTGCTTTTTTAGTAGAACAATTTTTCTCTCACAGAATTCATACAAAGAGGTCATCAGCATTGTAGTGTTTTTGTTCACCAGGCTTAAAACATCTCCAACAATGCGTTAATAAGTGAGAAAGCCATTAAGAAGAATAAAAAGCACTACGCTGGACTTACGGCGTAAACCGAAGGAGGAAATAATAAAGTAACCTTCAACACTACCCACATACATTTCCTTTTTTTCTAGTTTTTCTGTTTTTCCATATTAGCCTCTGACCAAGGCAGTCAAAGCTTTTGCATTGATTTCAGCAACATAGGAAAACAGTTTCATAGTTTCTGTTTGTTTGCTTCTTAATCACGGGAGCTAATGATCTGCCAACCTGGTTCATAAGGATGTGAATGAGATTAGTCTGCAGCCCGAGACTCTGATAGGGAAGGTGTAGGATATATATACCATATATATTAGGATATAT